GCAGAGATGGGGTGAGTTCGACGCTGTTGAGACGTTGGGCACACCACAGTTGCTGAGTGTACTCGGCGGGTAAGGCATTGGCATGAACACAGCTCAGGAGGCAGACTGTTGACTTGAGAAGAGCCCGGGAGATACGACAGTGCGACTGGGGCGAGTTCAGTGGAAATTCTGCGGGATGCATTGGCCGTATTTTCACTGAGGACAAGTCCGTTTTGATCCGTGCAAATGAGTAGGCCCTTGGCTGCAGTTTCCGTAGGTAGAGCTCCGCTCAGAACTGAGTTATTTAGGCTTCTGCATAGCGACTGTGTTGTTCCGGCCCGATAGTGTACTGGCGCCGGTGAAACCCGGGTGAGTTTGGCAGAGCCGTACCAGCTCTGTAGTACTTCGCTCTAAAGGGATTACCTGAGGAGTTTCCCTCTCGTCTAGTATTTATACCACGCTCATTGGAAACCCCAGAATTCATTATGACAAGCGAAGTATTTCGCCGTTGATCAATCCCTCCCTATCGATTTAACTTTGTGATCAAAAGGATCATAAATGACTTCTTCCTGTCACTTCTGCGGTACATGTTCTGTTGGGAGACCGACTGTCAAGTTAGACTATACTGACTGTATAGTACTTTTTACGTTGTTCCGATGCACTGCTGAATGGGTGCACTCTGCGCCGCATTCTTTAGTGTGAGCTTCGAGCTGTCAAAGTGTACGGTGCGGATACTGAAATTGGCTGACACGCTACTTGTTTTCACGATTATGGTAGAGCCGTTTGAAACGATCAATGGGTTTAATTCTTTACATGGTTGTGTCACTGCTGGCAGTTGCATCACCGATGAGACTACCGTACGCATACCTAAAGATCGTACGGATTTTCTAAGCCGCAGTCATCTATGGGAACTGCGCTGACCCTTGGTGGGGATCTTCTAGAAGTCGTCCAAAAATTCTACCTGGGAAATTGTATCAGCACTTTTGGGATTGAAGATGAGATCACGAACCGCATATCAAAAGCTCAAAGTGCTTTTGCTAAACTTCGCCATCTATGGCGGCGCTACCGACTAGGAGAGTTCTCTTTGCACTGCGTGACAGGTTCCGCGCTGAGTTTAGCAAATTAGTGAGTGCGATTGCCAGAGTCGATGAGCCAACCGAATGGGTTAGTCAGATCGCAATCATTACGAAGAAAACGGGTGAACTGCGTGTGTTGACCCAAAACCTTTGAATGAGGCCTTGCGTAGAGAGCATTACGCATCTATCCTAGAAGACATTTTGCCGCGTCTGGCCAAATCTAGGTATTTCACGAAGGTAGACCTCCCTTCGGCATTTTGGCTCGTGGTTTTAGATGGTGAATCTAGTTTCCTGACTACATTTGCAACACCGTTCGGGCGTTATCGTTGGCTGCGTTTACCGTTTGATTTGAAGGTGTGAAATTTTTCAAAAGCGATTGGTGCAAGCGGTAGACGATTTAGATGGTATAACCTGTGTGACAGACGATGTTTTGATCTACGGCTCGAGAGAAGAAGATCATGACGCTAATCTTCACCGCTCCTTGCATCGTCGTGCGCAAAAGAACGTCAAGCTTAAACGTGAAAAAATCGAATTTCGGAAGGATGTGATTTTCAATGGGCGTATGTTAACTACCCCCGGGGTCAGGGTCGATTCAGGAAGAATCAAAGCAATACGAGAGATGCCGCATCCTAATGACGTGACGGGAATCCATCGCTTAAACGGTATGGTGAATTGCTTGGGCCGTTTTATACCTAGGCTCGCTAATGCCATGATGACAATCACGAAGTTAACACACAAAGGAGTAAAGTGGGGTTGGGGAAAGGAACAGGAAACCGCATTCGAAACCATTAAGCACCTCATCATCAACGCGCCTGTACTCGGGTATTACGATCCAGCGCTGCCTTTGGAGGTACAGTGTGACAATAGCCAAGACGCAATAGGTGCTGGTCTCTTACAAAATGGAAAACCGTTGGATTTCCGCAGCCGAGCGCTTCCCGTGACCGAGCAGCGCTATGAGAAGATAGAGAAGGAGATGCTCGCGATAGTCTATACCATGGAGCGTTTCAGGGGTTATAATTTCGGAAGAAAGACAAGGTTGTATACGGACCACGAACCGCTTGTGTCAATAGCTAGGAAACCGCTGCATGTCGTTCCTCGTCGCCTTCGGCGTATGCTTATCCGGCTTCAAAAGTACGACATGGATATTGTGTACCCGACTGGTGCACAGATGTCCACCGCGCACACGCTGTCAAGAGCTCATCTGCCGGTACCCGAGCATAATCCGGAAGAGGTCGAAGCAGTAAATTTAGTACAACACCTGGCAGTGACAGAAAATCGCCTAAATAAAGGAAATAAGGCGCCACACAAATGAAGATGCGACGTTTGCAGCTTTGCGAGACGTTATTATAAATGGGTAGCCAGAGACAAAGAAGCACGTACCGAAGGAACTAACACCCTACTTCAATTTTCGAGATGAACTCTCTGTCTATGATGGTGGTTTGCTGTTCAAGGGAAGGCGTATTCTGATCCCGTCATCGCTCCGAGGAGAAATGCTGAAATACCTTCATCGCGCTTACCTTGGTGCCAACTAGACCATTAACGGAGCAAGAGAATTGATCTTTTGGTCAGTAATGACGGGTCAAATAAAAGATCACACGAAATCCGGCAGACGAGGGAACCAATGATGCTGCTGATCTACCGCGGCAGAAGGTGGCGGTAGATTTATTCTGCGGCAACAGGAAAGATTGCCTGCTCACGGTAGATTACTATAGTGATTATTTTGAAATCGATTTTCTCACCACTACGATCACAGATGCAGTAATCAACAAGCTTAGATGTCTGTTCGTGCGGCACGGGATACCGGAGGAGCCGGTCTCCGAAAATGGGCCGCAGTTTACTAGCGGTGCGTTTCAGGCATACGCAACCAAGTGGGAATTCATGCACCAGCATAGCAACCAATATTCCACCCAAACGAATGGAAAGGCAGTCAGCAGGCCAAACAAAGGTTGTTAACGGCTAGAGCAACTGGCGAGGACCCCTACGTCATGCTACTAGAGAATCGCAACACTTCTTCATCGTTCGTCGGCTTGAGCCCAGTGCAGCTCCTATACAGTCGAAGGACTAGAACGTTGACGCTGACATCTACCACACTTTTGCGCCTACTTTCGCCACAGAATGTGAGGTTACAGAACAATCTAAGGATGCGATTGACAACCCAGTACCGGTACTACAATCGCGGTGCACGGGTATTGCCTGAGCTAGCAATGGGAGAGGAAGTGTGGGTTCAACCAACACCCGATGATCAAGAGCGGTGGAAGAAAGGTGTGATGACTTCGAAGGTCGGTGCAGGGTCATATGAAATAAAGCTTGGAGGGAAAATGCTCCGAAGAAATGGAGTGCATTTGAGACGACACTGGAGACAACGATGTGGATTGGGAGTGAAGTGTCCGATGACGTATGGCAATGGGAGCATGGCCGCGAATGCAACGAAGATGACGCGGAGTGGCAAGATGTATGGGGTGTGTAACAATATGGAGGCGCAATAACACGAGAATGGGAGAATGTGATGGGGGTGTCATACCAGAGTGAACGGGTGGGCCAACCGAGCGAGCCAAATAGCCAGTGGTCGACGGGTGTAACTGATTTGATTGCTGGACATGGATTGTCCGATATTCATGTAATTTACTCATCGTTTGTTTAACTGAGTCAAAGTATGGTAGTCAGAAGGATCATTAGTTATTGACGTGAACGCATGACTTATGGCTTGCCAAATGTGCTGTAATTTTCGCCAAGTTGTTTTTGTCGAATAATCGCTTGTCCCTGAAGGACTGAGTTCTGCAACGGTCACGCTGTCCGCATGCCAGCAAACCAGCTTCTTCGGTGCGTATCGTTCGCTAACATTGCGCCCAATTTTTTGAGGTGGCCAATCGTTGACATTGCATATGAGTATGACGGAACTCACCAGATGACTGAGTAGTGAATGCATATTGTTTTCCCTGACGGAGACCTATGGATCAGCGACATCGGTGTCGCAAATTCATTGACCTTCTTGCATCCTTTTTTCCTTTCTAGCCCATGATCACTCCGTTTGATGATCCATATTTTTGATTCTTCGTCTTGCAGTACTGCTATTATAGCTATTATTATTACTGATGCTACTTTTACTATTATTACAACTGCCCCTTCTATTGCTATTATTATTATTATTATTATTATTATTATTAGGCTGGCGACGTGTCATGAGAACTAAATCCACCGCACCTTGATACACAAAACCAAAGTTATTGGATGCTCACTACGTGTAAGATCATCTTCGGTACAGGTGATCGCATCAGATCTTAGTGAAATCTACCTATGAAGGTCATGTCGGAGTTGTAGTCTAAAATGTGCACTGAGACTTCCAGAACCACCTAGTCTACTTAACACATTTCTCTGCAGGTGCACTGTTTAGGACTGTACAATTTATATCACTTATGCCCTAACCCACGTCTGCCTTTTAGAGAATGAAAATTTTACTACTGGAAAGAGAACCACTTCTGATGCATACGGCTGCAAAAACTGCTGCTTAAGTCAACTGTGCAAATTTTCTCACTACTGTCTATTAAAGAGTAGTGATATTTTATTACACATTAAGGATGATCTTGTAATCGTGTTTGCTAAGGCACCTGGCCATCAGTTTGCACTGAGTAGGTTCAACAGCATTCGTATTATAGTCTACGTAAGCAACAACCTGTTTCAGTTGAAGACTCTATAGATATGGACTCTGTTTGTGATGAATCATTTGCAACCTAGCTAATCAACTACGAACAAATCAATACTGGATGTTTTGTGTCTACCACCACTTATTCGGAACGTTTCTCGTCGTTTATTAGAGCGGTTGCTAACTTTTCTCGTTTTATGCACCTCATTCGTTCACTTCCACACAAATGTGAAAGAATAAACCTTACGTGCCATACTGTTCCGATTTTCCCATCTTACTCAAGTTCTTCGCCTCGTTTTTGTCCAGATGGAGCGGTTGACCTTATTCAACCTAAGGCAGAGATCGCGAATCACTGAACCACAGACCCAAACTATTATTGACCAACTGGAAACTGAGCAACTCGTTCGGAAAGCCTATTACGAAAAATTAGGCACTTGGAAGGATGATGCGTTGAGATTGTTTCGCCTCGCCCATATCAACTACCTTAGTAGGAAACTGGTCTCACTACCCACAAGTTTCGAGCATTTGGACGCTAGCCAGCCTTGGTTGGCTTACTGGATAGTCCATTCTCTACGATTGTTGAACTTCAACTTATCCCCAGAAACTGTCAAGTATTTGATCCAATTCCTCAAATCCACTCAGGTTAGCGTTTTGCCCTTTCGTTACGTCAATTCTGTTTTATTACTGTTTGTTTTGAATTTCCCGTTTCCTTTGATAGAGAACTTATTTGATCTCGTTGGCCGGTGCCTTAAAGGATTGCATGCCTGTTTTTTTACTCTCGAGGTCGCTGGTTGTCGCATGTTGATGGTAGAATGACATTCCCTACGGACCCCAAAAGCTCATTATGTAATGTCATGGATTTTAGAGCACGCAACGAGACTGGACCTTAACGTGGTGCGACGGCTTGCGTACCTCATTGACCCATTGAGCTACACTGGGTGATGCCTCCGGGCACCTTGATAGCTACTCCTACCAGGTTGGTCAATGGTGAGAGGTCAGACAAACTCAGTCTCCTGGTCATCCAGGTTGGGAGTTTGAAATGGGATGGCGTCCATTTCTGTAAAACTAAATCATTGCCACCTACCCGCTGCCTTGCGTACAGGATTTTTAGCCAATGGCTTTGGATGATGACCCTAATCGTCCTCCTGTCTAGGTCTGGGCCCCCTGGCAGTATCTCAGCCCACATACAACCATGACCTTTTCTTCAAACATAAACGTCATCCTACATCGGCCGTCGCGCAGATTATCAAGGGTCGCCTTATCTGATGCATACAGCAGGGCGGATAAGCGAAAACATGCTACTGCTGGCGCCTCCCTTCTTTCTTTTCCACCTTTTGCTCTTACTCCCATTGCGACCCCCATTACTAACCTTCCTTTCTATACTTCCCAGCTTAATTGCCAGCAACCGAAGTGCCATTGGAGTAGAACCATCTGCAGCCACCTCGCGACACGCACCGGACGCCTATCGGCAACAGTCCCTTATAAGGCCACGCTGTCCCGTTTCCATGGCGACGTTCAACGTTCGCACTCTAAGACAAGTAGGTCAACAGGCTTCACTCGCACACACCTTGGACCCACTGGGTGTTGATGTGTGTTGTATGTCCGAAACTAGGATCAACGACTCCAATGGGGTTGTTGAATTAACTGCACCAGGCTTATCCTCGTTATTGGTTGCACGCATCTGGAGACGCCGTTACAGCACTCACGGGTCAAGCTGGTGTAGGTATCATTCTAAGCTCCAAGGCTGAGCCATCGTTGGTTGATTGGATTCCGGTGAATAGCCGTTTGTGTGCAGTCCGTTTGACGACATCAGCTAAGGTTGATTCACGAAGTAGCACAAAACGTTGTTAGTGATCTCCGCTTATGCCCCACCGACTGTAGTTTAAATGCTGTCAAGGACACATTGTATCACGAACTGGACGCGCTAATGCGCAGTGCTACTAGTTCAGATATTCTGATGCTTGCAGGGGATATGAGACTGAGACTGAGACTGTATTTAAGAGCAAGTAGAAAGGTTTCTGTACAACTCTATCGAATTACGAAAAATCAAAATTTACTTGTGAATTATCAGCAGTTGTGTCTGGTCCGTTAATCGTTTATCCGTGTTCGGTTAGAAATTTGTACTAGCGTCATTATTTCCGGACATACAATGTCTTCTTTTGGCACTGTATGTGCATCGTTTCACAAAAGCACAGGTTTCCAAAATAATCGTCGATACGGGTTTTAAAACACTTCACAGAATCGGCCTCTATTAATCCTTCTGGTAGTGTATTCCATAAGTTTACGATTCTTCGTTCGATACAAAGCTGATGTGATACTTTGTTCATGCTGGGGACCCTGAGTTTGTAACGATGTCCTCGGGTGTTACAGGGTTCTCGCAGGTGAAATATTGGCCGCAGTATGGAGAAGTGATTCAAGTGTAGTACTCGATGGGTCATAATAAGATCAATTCTTACTCGGCGATAGGATAGTGTGTAGAGTCCGAGCCTTTCACAACGTTTTTCATACGGAAGCTTTCATAGACTTGGTATCATTCTAGTTGCGATATGCTGTATTTTCTCCAATTTTTCAGTTTCCCACTGGGTTATCGGATGGTAAGCTGGGGCACCGTATTCAAGGATTGGTCTAATGAGCGAGGTGAATAGACGAGGGACGGTTTCTTCGGACCATGTGGAGAAACTGCGTCTTAATGCCCAGAGAATACGAAGTCCCGCACGGCACAATTTCTCTGTATTTTCTAGTGATCTTAAATCATATCGTGAGAGAACTCCTAAGTCTCTGACAGATGTGTTGGGATGGAGCAACTGGCCGTCCAAGGTGTATGATCGAGTGGCTGGACGTCTGGTGATACTGATGAACTCCGACTTGCTTGCGTTAAGAGGGAGTTGCATTTCAGTGGACCACGTTGACAGTCGCTCTAAGTCATGCTGGAGGCGAGCGCAGTCGTCTTGGTTTTCAATGATCCTCCAGATTTTCAAATCATCTGCAAACAGGACACATGGTGACTGGAGCTGCTGCGGAAGATCGTTGATACGGATAAGAAATAATACTGGCCCAAGTACAGTTCCTTGTGGCACGCCACTGGTCGATGGGAACCATTCTGTCAGATAGTCATTGACCTGTACTCTAAACCTTCGTCCCACAATAAACTCTTGTATCCACTGAAGTAACGTGCCACCGATTCCGTATGTCCTCAGTTTACGAAGGAGTACCTCGTGGTTCACTCTGTCAAACGCCTTACTAAAGTCGATGTACACCACGTCAACGTCCTTCTGTTCATTGAGAGCTCGAACCCACTGGTGGTTTGCGTACATCAAGTTGGTGATGCAGGATCGCCCTTTCGTAAAGCCGTGTTGCGCTGGCGTCAATACGTCCATCGATTCGAAGAACGACAGCAGACACTTTTTCACAACCTTCTCGAGAACTTTGGATAATACCGAAGTCAAACAGATCGGTCTATAGTTCTCTATTTTACTCGGATCACCACCCTTGGGAAGCGGTTTAACTATCGAGCATTTCCAGTCGTTCGGGACGGATCCTTCAGAGAGCGATCTATTGAAAATGTTTGTCACAGCTGGTGAGATGATAATCGATAGGGACTTGAGTATTAGTGGGTGAAGTCCGTCTGGTCCGGGGGGCTTTGCACCATTGAGGTTAACGAGTAGCTGATGTACTTCGACTGCATCACATTGTAGGCTGTCGAGCAAGACTTGCGCAACCTGTGCCGGTACTGGAACAGCCGCCGGTTTACTGGAAAATACAGTGAGGAAGTGCGTAGCCAGGGCGTCCGCGCGCTCCGCGCTTGAAATGAGTGTCTTCCCGTCTAAGCTCTCTAAGACCGGTAGGTCGTCCCCAGGTTTCAGTTGACGTTTCAAGTAGGCAAATATTCGCTTGGGTGCAGTTGTGGCCGAGGATGCTAGCTCCTCTTCGAACTGCCGGCGTTTCTTGATCTTTGCGGCGTTACATAAGTTACGCTGTTTCTTGTACACCGTGTAATCTTCATCACAACCCGAGCTGATGTATCTATCCCAAAGTTTACGACGTCGTCGCGCTAACTGTCTGTATTCCCTATCAAACCAATGCGGTTTGACAGGTCCGATTTTTGGATACTTAAGGGGAACGAATCGAGTACAGAGCGAGTTAAGCTTCCCCTTTATTAATGACCACCACGCCTCAAGTGACGCATCATGTGGTAGTGTCCAATCAGTCTGACTTGCGGCTTGGACGAGTGCGTTGAAGTCCGTCTTCCAATAGTTGAATGTCGGCTTCTGTTGATTGTAATATGGTAACGACAGTTCTAAGCTTGCTACAATAGAGCAGTGGTCACTGTTCGCCAGAGGTTCGATGACTCTGATCTCTTTTAGCTTCTGCTCGCAGCTCGTAAACATTAGGTCCAGACAAGATGCCGAGTACGGAATTACGCGCGTCGGTTGGATGACATGTTGCGTTGCCCCGATTTCAATAGTCATTTTAGCGAATTGAGCCTCAACATTGCCATGACCGGGAAGAAGTCGAACATCTGGCCAAATTATCTTAGGTAAATTTAGATCCCCCATCAGTAAGAACTGAGGGCGGCTCATGTGCTTCTGTACATGTGGTATCCAATCGCAGCAACGGTTTAATGGGCTCCGGTAGATAACCCCCACTATTAGTTCTGCGCGCCTGAGACGGGTTGTGCACCACAATTGCTCGCATAAACTATCCTCGCTCCGATAGGTACTGATAAGTTTGCCAGATAGTGACGATTTTATGTACAACAGAACACCACCGTGAGCCTTTGATTTTCGGTCACATCGGAAACAAGAGTATCCTGACAACACGACTTCTTGTGGTATGACGTCGGAGTTCAGCCATGTCTCTGCAAGTCCTAAAATGTCCGGCCGCTCCGAGACAGCGAAGCGGCACAGTTCGTCACGTTTGTTCATTAGGCTGCACACGTTGGCGAATGCGACACGGAGGTCCTGGGAGGTACTGCGGGACGTGCCTGGAGGTTGAGCAACCGGTTGATACGGGTTCGTACACCCTTCTTGATATGGACGCACAACTAGGGCGTCTGACCCCTTCAGAAGCTCAGTTGGGTGGTAATTATAAGCTTAACTCCGAACGGACTGACAACGGTGAGCGTCTGCTGCAACTGTGTGCCGAGCACCAGTTGTTTCTTAGTAGCACTGCTTTTAGACACAGTGGGCGCCGAAATGCCACTTGGCGTCCCCCTGTAGCTGACCAGCGATGGACCCAAATTGACCACATAGCCATAAGTTGCAGGTGGCGTGGTTCCATCCTGGATTGCCGCTCGTACTGGAATACCTGCGTCGACTCTGATCATGCCTTGGTACGCTGTCGTTTCTCCATGAACTTTACCGGGAGGCGCACCAAGCGTCCCCTACGATTGGCAACTGGGAAATTGTCTCAGCTCTCAGTTAGGCGAGCCTATCAAGACGCACTGCATACCGAACTTTCGCTGTCTTGTTCTAATGACACTAAGCGTCAGTGGAGTAGGATCTCGGCCGCCATTCATGACGCAGAAGCATCTGCTTGTGGCACTATCAATGGTCACCGCACCAGTCACTAGATATCCGAGAGGTCGGTGAACCTGTTGGAATCTAGAAGAAACCTCCCCTCTGGCTCTGAACACAATGTGA